TTGATTTGTACCAGGAATCCCAGTTTTTCTACGACTGGTCATGGAAAGGGTTCTGTGACATGCGAAATCTGGAGTATCTTTCCTTTGACCTCAGTGTCGCTGCGTCGCTAGATGTGCTAGATGTGATCACCCACGTCCTAGCTTACGCGCCCGCTGGTCTTCGTGTATGTGTCGTGTTGCTTCAGAGGGGAGATTCAGCGTTTGGAAGCGTAGATGAATTTCTTGAGGCGGACAAGCGGGTGCAAGCCATGATTGTGGGCGATGTAGATCGAAGGCTAGTCATCGGGAGTGCTGAAGTTCTGAAGAAACATTCACGGTACAAGGACATGGTGCTGGAGAGGGCGTATAAAGATGTCCTGAAGGACTGGAGCTACTCTCCAGGTGAGGAAGATATGTGGACAGTGGCGAAAGCGATTATCTCCCGTCGATGTAGGAAGGTGTCGCTCAGCTGAGGATATTTGACGCGTTCCCAAGTAAATAATCAAGATCACCATTCGTGTTAGAGGACGGTACTGATTGGATTCGTTGGCTCTTATCAGCCATTTGATCACTGTAATTCCACTTTGGCATCGGCATCACTGCATGATAATCGACGGCGTCGGGGCATTGCGGCCGGTTGTCGTGATCCGCGCACGTGCACGTGGGCCGCGCCCCGGAATAACCGATGCCGGAGTACTTATAGGCCTGCGGCCATATCCTCTGCTCGACCTATAATGTTGAGCCGGTTGAAAACAGCAAGGACAATCACGATGGCTCGTCGCTCTCTCTCTTCTGCACCACCACCATCTCCCGCTGCGCCCGTCGATCCCGCCGCGCCCCCCATGTTGCGCTTTCAGGCGGGCCTACCAACCCTCCCGGTGCCCTCACTCCCGAGCACGCTCTCAAAATACCTAGAAACTCTCGAACCTGTCACCTCTCCAGCAGATATGGACAAATCTGTGTCCAGAGTCTCAGAGTTTCGCTCTTCGGCCATCGCCCAAACCCTCCAGGACCGTTTACTAGCTCGCGCAAGCAAGTGTGACAACTGGCTCTCCGAATGGTGGAATGAGGCGGCGTATATGGGATATCGGGACCCTGTCGTCGTGTTCGTATCCTACTTTTTCGTTCACGCAGATGACCCCGCGCGCGCCAACCCCACCGAACGTGCAGCAGCAATAATCAAAGCAACACTTGCTTTCCGTGCCATGGTCGAATCACAGACTCTCGAGCCCGAGCGCGCAAAAACTCCCCTATGCATGGCTTCTTACAAATGGATGTTCCACGCCTCAAGATACCCAACAATCCCCAGTGACACCGCGCACAAGTTTGACTATAAACTCGGAGGGAAGGAGTATAACCATTTCATAGTCATGAGGAATAATAGGTTCTTCGTTGTACCCTTGGCTGATGCACAAGGTACACCATTCTTCTTGTTCACTCATTGTCATTGCGATTAACCCCTTGACAGGCAACGAGCTCTCGGGCGCCTCGATCCAAGCTCATCTCGATGCCATTGTCAAACATGTCGCTTCGTCACCCTCCCAGGCGTCGGAGGTGCCAATTGGTGCTTTTACTTCGGACAACAGAGATAACTGGACGCACAATCGCGCCAAGCTCATCGCTGCCTCCCCTGAGTAAATTCCCATTCCCCCATGCAGTAGAGGGGTTACTTACGTCCTCCCTCATCCTCAGAAACGAACAGAACCTGGTCAAACTCGAATCCTCCCTCTTGACACTCTGCCTAGACTCTTCCGCTCCGACTACACGCGAAGACATCTCCTGGCAAACTTGGGTGGGTAACGGCCGCAACCGTTGGTACGACAAGCATCAATGTACGGAACATTTCGCCTCCCCTCATCCGCCCCGCACTAACCCACTGCCTTCCTTCCTTTCTCTCACTAGTCATCGTTTATGAAAACGGTCGTTCTGGCTTCCTTGGCGAGCACTCATGTATGGACGGAACCCCGACTCTCCGTCTCAATGAATTCGTTCTCGCCTCGCTGGCACGCAATAAGATCGACCTCGGCCCATCTACACCATCTATCCCATCTACCGAAATTAAAGTCGAGGAATTGGTGTTCAAAGTCAACAAAGACATCGAAACGAACGTCAAACAAGCAGAAGCGAGGTTTGACAAACTCGTTGGTGAACATGAGATGGCTGTACGTTTTCCTGACTTTGCGCGTCATTCCAATGGCGCTAACCCACCCTTGACAGGTCCTTCACAACGACTCCTATGGAAAATCCCTGATCAAGTCTCACAAAGTTTCCCCTGACGCCTGGGCCCAACTGGTCAAACAGCTCGCCTTTTTCAAGCTTACTGGCCGCAATTCAGCCGTAACCTACGAGTCCTGCCAAACGCGTAAATTCAAACTCGGCCGGACAGAGGTCATCCGCAGCGCTAGCAAAGAGGCTAAGGACTGGGTCAAGTCTATGGACGAAGTTGTTTCCGTGAGTGTTCCTGATCCGTTCCTCCGCTTGACCCGCGAATTGTTGTTGATGCATTGATCCCGCTAATAGTCCGTGAGACGCGCCGCCTTGTTCCGGAAGGCCGCTACGCGACATCTTCAGTACGCGGCCTGGGCAGCGGACGGCCAAGGCGTCGATCGCCACCTCTTCGGACTCCGTAAATCACTCCTTCCCGACGAACCCGTTCCCTCCATCTTCACCGACCCAGCCTTTGGGCACTCCTCCCATTGGGAGCTTTCCACCTCCCAGCTATCTTCCCCGTACATTGATGGCTGGGGCTATGGCGAAGTCGTGCCTGATGGCTTCGGGTTGAGTTATGCCATTGGAGATGACTATATCCGGTGGACGATTACGTGTCTGAGGGGCAACAAAAACGGAAGTGCGGAGGATCTGAAACGGTGTTTGGCAGAGGCGGCCAATGATGTCAAAACGATGATGGAGGAGGAGGCTAGGGAAAAGAGCAGTAAGTTGTAAGGCATGACGAAGGGTACGACGCAACACGGTGGGATGTAATGGCAATGTACTACTTACTAGACGTACACACGGAGATACCTGATGATAGATCTAGACATCATCCACTTGGTTAAATGCTTATAGACAGGCATGCACACTGGAATAGATTCTAGCTGAGGTTTCACTGCGGTTGTATTTCTTTTGAGGAATATGAGTAGAGATGTATCTACATCCTGTCCCAAGTACTTAGAGTAAAAAATAGTCCGTTCTACTAGTATTTTGTACTGATGGTCCCTGCCATGAAGTGCCTGTTCCGAACTGGAAGTGTCTGTTTCTGAATAATGATAATGATGATGGAAATAAATATGATTAAATTATAACGGCGGGGGAAGGTCTTTTGATGCGGTGACGATGCGGGCCGCCGGCTGGGAGATGGGGGGCATCTACTGGCCAACGCACGCGGGACGTATCAGACCTTGACCGTCTGAGAGTGTCATTGGTGACACGGGATCCGTGTCCTTCGTGGCTTCGAGGATACTGGCGGTGGTGATTATGAAGCTGATGATCGTGGCGTTGGGGGTGATGTGCGTGATATGGGTATGGCGACATCGTCGAAGGAGGTGGTGAGAACTGGACGCGGGCGTGAGTGCGCAACGAAGGGCTGCTTGCGACTTTTCTCGCTTGGTGCCTGGATAAGGACGGGTGCGAGGGAGGGGGCGAGGCGACTCCATGTGATGACTGGCTGTAGTTGGAATAACTGAATGAGGACTTGTGGGACAAAGTCCGGGTGGTGGGAGAATGAACGAGAGGTAGTTCGGATACCATGTCGGGGGAGCAGAGGTATGGGTCTGGGATGAGCTGTCTGTCTTTCGCAGCTTTCTTGGGGGTGTTCTTTTGACGTCGCCACCAGGTGACCATGCAGACCATGATGACGACTAATACAGAGATCACGGATAGTCCAGCAATCAAGGGCGTTCTGCCACGCGAGAATCCTCGTTAAGGAGACACTTCGACAACAGTCATAATGCGGAAAACTCACTTTGATGCGCGCCCTTCTGATCGCTTGCTGAGAAATCTACTCGATTCTTCCGGAACGGATGCCTGATGCTCAAGGACGATCTGGAAGAAACGTGGATCAGGAATGTGGATTGGGGAGAGACAGTGCACTCACATAGTCCAGGTCAAGCACTTGACCGTTCTCACCGAGGTTGGTGAGCTCGAAGGTGTGCATGTGCGATTCGTCGAGGTCCCTACGACCGAAGAGAAGAACGTTGCCGTGTGGGGTGCTCCCTTGTATATACCCCGGGAATGTCTCTACTTCGCCGTCTAGGGCGATCTGGTATGACCCCAATCGTTCCCGATATCCGCCATATATCCTATTGAAACTTAGCCATGAAACCCAAGCCCGGAATTAATCCTGCACGTACCATATGGAAGCCCCTCTCCAGCTAAACGAAACCGTACCCCTCCCAGCCGAAGAATTCGTAGCACGATAGCTGTGCGTGTAGTACTCATCCTATCCCCATCGTCAGCCTAGACCACAGCAGTAGGATCGTGGAATACTCACCAACAAGGGATCGTCAAGTAGAGCATCACTCCAGGCCGATGGTGGCGAATATTGTAGGCGTGGACTAGTATTCGTGAGGGTTTCGTTAAGGGGCATGTTTGTCGAGGAAGATCAGAATGAATTGAATCAATCGTCACATATATAACCCCAGCCAGTCAGTTATTGTAGATGCTTGAACACGATGCCACTTACCATAGCGCATGAGGTCAGATCAACGATGCCCTGATACAGTGATGCAGACAGATTCTGGTGTTTCATCAAATCAAGCTGTGCATATGTTGTGATCGAAGAGATGGCGGTGAGAAAGATTGAGAATTTAGCGCGCTCCATGTCAATTCCAAACCCTACGGAAGTATCTCCAAGTGAGATTTCGGATTGCAGCAAAGCATCACCGTATGCAACGGACTTACAGGAACTTACGGCACTCGCCCTCCGACTAACCAGGCAGGAAACTTCCTGCGACTTCCTGCGACTTCGCCGTGGGATCAAAGCAAAACAAAATGCGTCGAGTCGCAAAAAGTTTGCCAAAACTTTCGGATACGGGGAATCGAACCCCGAGCTGCCGCGGTCTACCTAACGGTGAGAGGCGGCAATGTTAGCCGTTACACCATATCCGACTGGTGAAGGGTTTCTGTCTTGACAATTATGGTTGCTCGCAATAGTTGTAGATGAAAGAATCGCTAATTTGTGTTTAGTCACGGTGAGTATAATTATGCACATATTCAGAAATATCTCTAGGATCTAGGAATCTAGGCCATCTAGATGGTCGCGAGCATGTGTAACTGGGGAGTAGGTGGTTCTCGGTTCTTTAATCGACGCGAGCGCGCTTCTTCGCAGCCCCGTTGGTGTGGCCGTTGGTCGGGGCGGTATCACTGACGGTGGAAAAATATTCAAGCGAGTCCTTGGGGTCGGCTTTGATGGTTTTCTCTCCCTCAGTCCAGTTGGCGGGGCAAACTTCACCGTGCTTGTCCTGCCACATGCCTTCGAGTTAGGCTCGAATTCCCCAAGATGAAAAAACCACATACAGTGAATTGGAAGGCTTTGATTAGGCGTAGAGTCTCGTCAACCGAACGGCCAACTGGGAGATCGTTCACGGTGATTTGACTAAACGTTCTTCAGTCAGTTTTATTCGACGACGGCACCAGTCTTCAGCGCACCGAAGAGTACCCTTAGGGTCGATCAAGAATAGACCACGGAGGGCAATGCCCTCCTCCTCAATCAGTACGCCATAATCACGAGATATCTGCATATTCCGGTCGGCTACGAGGGGCAGCCTGAGGTCAGGGCCTAGGCCACCTTGCTTGCGTGGCTGCTGCGACCAAGCAAAGTGAGAGAACTGCGAGTCCGTGGAGACACCTATGTTTGACTGTTCATCAGTGAAAAATGGAAAGAGTACAGGCACAGAGGCGTACCGAGGACAGTCGTCTGGAGCTGTTTGAATTGCTCAAGGGCATCGTTGAACGCCAAAATCTCGGTTGGGCAGACAAACGTGAAGTCCCTACGATGCGAATCATTTATTCAGCCAGAAATTTGTACCATTCCTGGTGGTACCTACATGGGATAGAAAAGCAATACGACCCTTCTCGTATATTAGCTAGTGGCACTCTAATTTATCAGTGCGATGGCGACGTACCATTGTCCAAGGAAGTCCGACAGAGAAATCTCTTTGAACTGACCCTCTGCTACAGCAGTGGCCTTGAAAGCAGGAGCGGGACGTTGAACGAGGGCAACCATTTGAGCGCGCGCAAATGAGTGGGTCGAGGAAAGAAAGGAGGTGAGGCCCAGATTTTCTCCTTGCAAAGGACGCGTTATTTGCCATTATTTGTCTCGGGTCCCTATATTTCTCCTATTGCGCCAATTCAGAGCAAAATGATATTTGTGCGCACCCATATACACTTCGTAGCAACTGTCATAGATAAAAAATAATAGTACGGATTAAATGTGCATACCCACGTTACAGTCTGGCATACTGTTGAACCATATAAAATCCAGGGAATGTAGAGTTAAGAAACCATCTTCAAATAAAGCATCGCCTCCGTGTATAGTATACTAGCTGCTACATGTTCACAGTTAAGCGTTTGACCCACGGCACACTTATGTGTCCGTTTTCAGCGGCTTCACAGTGTCTAGTTCAGAGCTAGAAAATGACGCAGTCATTGTACCTGCCGAAGCTCTCTCAATGCGTACGGAGGCCTGGGTCATTTCGTACTGCTTTACGCACGCTTCCCCCCTTATAGGCCAGTACTTGACTGGGATATCTCCAAAGGACTATTCCAGGCTTGCGTCGTTGGGCTATGTCGGTAATCGTGAGTCTCCCTGAGGTCTATATGTTTTCTTGCGAATCTGAGAGTTACTGTGGCTCGGACAGAGAACAACGGGGTGGGCTTGGTGATTAGAAGGCCCACAAGCCATTGCGACCGCTGGCAATCCAAGATGGAATGCCCCCTGTAGTGATTCATGGGAAACACGCGAGTCGGGAAGCAAGAAGAAGCAGGCACGAACCTATTTTAAGGAGCATAGTCTCGGATTTTGGTGGGTAAGAGAATTTCGACAGGTACATGGTCTCGCACTGATGTGTGTGTTTGTTTCGGCCTTCTCGCGGCGGTGCATTCGAAAGCCAAATAACATATTCGGCGGTCCTATCAAAGTTCGTTCTATTCTCAGGACCGGCGTTGATCTCCTCGCCCAGGGGTTGGAACGCAACGTGCACGGGAAGCTGCAACAGTTCGTCCGTTCAGAATAGTAAAAAAGTGGCTTCTGGGACGGTGTTGATGTTGATGTACAGTGATTGTATCGTTTCTGCGGGGACAGCGAGCCCGTGGGCCACCTAATGGTACCAAAGGAACCGACGAACGCCCTTGGAAGCGTCCGTATCTGCCCCGCCTCGAATGTACACGTTTGGAAGTAAGACATAACCCCGTGGCGAAAGCACGCCTGGGTCGGCCAGCCAGCCGGTTACAAAAATCTATGCAGCTCAAGTTAGTCATCATCGGGGCATGTGAAGAAGATACTGCAAATTACCGCCTTTCAGCTTCTCATCAATGACATTCATGAATCCATCAAAGCATCGCCTTGAAATGGGGGGCGAATGGGTTTGCGTGGAAGATAGACCGCATGGAACCTCCTTGGTATGGGAAGGAGGTTTGACACCGAGCCTATGTGCAAGTCTCTCATGGTCCTGCTGCTCCTTAGGACCTGATTTGTTCCTTTGGCTTCTGTGGAACAATATATTGTGAGAGTGGGATGAGGAAAGAAAAAATCCACCAGGCTTGACGCAAACCACCGTTGCTTTGCGTGGGCTGGACTGTCACATACCTTGACGCTGATTCTCGAGTATGCCTCCCCTCATGGGATCCACAACGTCTGTCAGCAATGGGAATCGGTGTCGCCATTGACATCAAGGAATGAGGGCCTTGAGGTGAGGTTAAGTCCGGGAGGACAGAAGGACCCAGAGGCATTTAAATGGCATGCCTTGTACCATGCACCACGTCGGCCAACATTGCTGACATACGAAGAGGTATGGACCTGCCTCTGTCTTGGACATTGGAGATGACTATATTTTCGTCTGAGGAAGGTCGGCGTTCGAACGAGACAGAGTCAGTATAAAGGAGAAATGGGCGTGTCGTAGGCGTATGATCAAGGCCTCTAAGCACACATGGAATAAGCCCTTGGGGGTGTCGCCTGCCTACAAGAGAGATACGAGAGCAAGAGAACATCCTGATGCGAGATGCGATACATATGAAGCCTCCCCGAATGTGGAAACCCATTATAACAGAGGGCAACTAAAGTAAGTGCGTTTTATGTGGGTTGTTCACTACATTATCATCGCTTCTGAGGTAGAGTTAGATTCACGGACTGACCCGTTTCATTACCTTGGACTTACTTTGTGATTCTTCTACCTAAACTCAACACGCCTCCCAGACCAGTCTACCTTCAGTTTATCGTCCACAAGTCGATCGAGCTCCTTCGCTCGAGCGACCGCAATTTCAACGAGGTTCAGGATGCTATCAGGCGCCAATGGAACCCCTCCAAGCTTCTGAAAGACACAAATCTCGCGCTGAGCGTTCAACGCAATGGAGACAAGCCCTGCGCTGAGTCGCTGCTCGAGATGCGATGGATCAAGAATCGGCGGTATTGACGTGTCGGCAAAGAAGGCGAAAGTAAAGCAAAATGGGGAATGGTGAATCGCGAGGGGGATCGGGGCTCGTTCTGTTGGATCATGCTGGTTTGTGGTTTAGATAACGATGATCGATTGAATGGTAGCACCCTACTATTGTGACTTCGTCGCCAACAACTTCGATTTCTGGTCTTCTGAAGTGGCGGAGCGCAACGATTCCAGCAAGACACGCGCAATCCAACATATTCCCCTCATCAGATAAGCAGTGGATCGCTAGGCGAACATGCCACACCTAGAACTTTTCTGATCGCGCTTGTCCGAAAACAGGAAGATAAATCAGGCTCACGCGTTGGCCAGCTACCACACATAATGACTCTTTATCGATTGTATCACTTCTCCTCAGGACCTTGTCCAACATTCGCGTCATGGTCACTTCTTCCTCTGATGCTCTGTTCGAAAGTAAGAAATATCCTCAGAAAGAACTATGCGCGACGCACCTACCAAGCTCGTACTCCGGGGAAGCCATGGGAGATATCTCAGAGTGTATAGAAATCATCCCCTCAAAAGGCCGTTCTGGGGGAGGCTTGACCATTTTTGCGTCAACCTGCGCGAGTACTCGAGTTTTACCAAGGGCGCATTCGACCCATCCTAGTTCAGTTCCGAACGTCAGCTCCGGGGTGCGTAACTGCAACGGTTGCCGCCCGTCAAGTCTAAGTGATTCCTTCAAGGACGCGAAGAGGAACTCTTTCTCAGGGATCGACGGCGACGGTGGACGCATTCTTGGGATGCGCGGTGGCGAAAGGGTAAAAGGGGCGGGGTCACACGGTCACTGATACACAAATTAGTACGCGTCGGCGCTTATTCAACAGGTTTCTATCTCACCGCGACCTATTCGTCGCCTGTCCTCCCGCTCGTACCGAGAGAAACCGTCCCGAAAGTCCCCTTGCGTCGCACTTGGATCGTCGAAGTTCATCCCGAAACACTCTCCTCCCCTCAGATGTCGCGCCACCGAACCTCTCATGCGCTTGCCATTCTCGGCCCCGAGTTGCACAATAAATTACCGGAAACGAAAGTATTGCTGGTCGGAGCCGGCGGGATTGGATGTGAACTATGTAAGTGATGTTATAATGTCTTTTGGTCACATATAGAACGCGCTTTCCCAGTAAAGAACATCGTTTTGACCGGCTTCGGACACATTACCCTCCTCGACTTGGATACCATCGACCTCTCCAATCTCAATCGCCAGTTTCTCTTCCGGAAAAAGGATGTAAAACAGAGTAAAGCTATGGTACGCTCGTATCTCGCAGCCAGTTTCATCTTTGGTCTTCATGTCTGGTCAGATAGCGGCCCAAACAGCGGCAGCATTCAACCCTAATGTCCACATACATCCCATTCACGCAAATATCAAAGAACCACAATTTGATGTCAGATGGTTTCAGGGCTTTGATATCGTGCTCAACGCTCTCGATAACCTAGGTGAATTTCGCCTTCCTATTCAAT